AGTTACATAGGATGCGGCGAATTTTTATTTGAATGTTAAATGAAGGTACAACTTTGTACCATTCAGTTGTTAGGGATACCTTCTTAACAGGGTTGGGATGTTTAAATGAGAAGTAAGTGAAAGCATTACATAAAGAAATGTATTGTTATTCCTAAGATAAAAAAATCTTTCCTTGAAGATTTATTTTTTATAAAGTCAGATTTGAATTCAACACTGATCACAAATATGAGAATAGCTATCTGAAAGCCATGAGCTATATGATAGGCTTCTTTATGAATTATTCAGTTCAAACTGATAGTTAAAAGATAATTTGGATGAGATAAAATTTTTTAAATGACCGAATGTGACCCAAACATGTCATGCTAAGACATGCAGATTTAGGATCCCACAGTAACAACATCAATATACCCATTTAGTAGGGACAGAAAGAAGCTTTTGGTCACGCAACGGTTGGCTGAGATTGTAGATAGGTCTGAGAAAAAGGAAATGATTATGTTATAAAGGAATAGGAAATAACATGAATCGGGCGTACGCTAGACACTCAATACATACTTTCTTTTTAAAAAATGATTTCTGTTAGAGAAGGGATTATGCTTCATCCCCCAGGCTGGAGTATAGTGATGCGATCATAGTTCACTGCTGCCTTGAACTCCTGAGCTCAAGTGACCCTCCTGAGTAGCTGGAACTACAGGCATGTGCCACTACACCACCTAATTTTTAAATCTTTTTGGTAGAGACAGGATCTCCTTCTTTTGCCCAGGCTGGTCTCAAACTCATGGCCTCAAGCAATCTTCCTGCCTCAGCCTCAGCATCCTGTGATTACAGGGTTGAGCCACCCCACAACCCTGCTCTTTCTTAACGCTCTTTACTGCCCGAAGAAGTGAGTGGCAGCATCTCTCCTTTTTAGATGAGGGGAACTGAAAATCAGTTACAGCATTTAAAGGCTAGAGCTGGTGTGGAAACTCTTATCAACTTTAAGGTCCACGTTCTTTTCATTCACCATGTTGCCGAAGACTTTGCCACACACTTAGCACCTTGGCCTTGGGTGGTTCAGGTCTCTTTGTCCCAGTTTCATACCAAATCTTGTTTTTCTTTCGGAGAACTTTTACAGAAAGCTTCTGAAAAGACTTTTTGGATGTTATAGGTGACAAGTATGTGACTTATGCTCAGGAGTAGCGAACAGGTTAAATTCCTGGACTGTCTAAAGTTCCATGTACATGGGCCCAACTATGTTTTGTGAAGTAGTTATAAAAATGCTGGCAAACTCTTTCCATTAGTGGTTCTTGCATACAGTATGCACTTCTTATGTTGTGGGACTCTTTTTGTTGTTGTTCAGAAATTTGCCTTAGGGGTTTTCTCAAACTCTGCCTTCTGATTCTATAGTGGTTTTTAGCTTTCTTTTTTCTTTCCAGGCTGGGTGGATGATGCAGTTTCACTTCTAGGTGTTAGGATTCTCTTTCACACTGGTTTGTCATGACCTTAAAGTATTTTAAGTTTCTCCTTTGAGATTTGTCTTACCAAATGAGTTTAAAATACCAGCAGCTGGAGAGTCCATAAGCATTGTCTGAGTTGATCCAATGTAAAACCAGCCAGTGGTCTGCCTTTTTATTTTCTTCATTTTGGCAGGTTTTTGGGTGCAGACTGGAAGGCTTGTTATGCTTCTGAATCAGCCTTTAGGTACAAGAGTTGCTAAGTGTGGTTGATGATAACAAAGATGGAAAAATGTTGGTTATGATCATCATAATTGTCTTAATTATAATTGCTATCATACTCTCTCCTGTCAGATAACTAACTGATGAGGCCTAATAGTCGTTTTAGCTGCAACCACCCACAAAAACCACACACATGGCGCTTTACTCAAAACTTTACTTTAACCACGACTTTGTGATGCAAAACTAGTGGAATTTTGGGTACTTTCTGTAAAATCGAAATCTTTATGGGGGTTTTCCAACATTCTAGTTGATTGTTAACAAATTATCAGTATAAGCAACAAAAGCAAAGCAGAGTTTGCTAATAAACACTGAATTCTGCAGTAGGAGGGGATACTAGTATATAACAGTATTTTCACTTGGAGGAAGCCACTTTGAGTTGAGAATGGATTCTCCTTTTGAAAAATGCAGTTAAACAAGAGGTATTTATATGAGATACGTAGTTGTAAAAGATAAAGATTTTAGGAGTTCACTGGCTGCTTATCTTTGCCACAAAATTTTCGGTCCTGACAAAGTAATCATATTCAATACTTTCTAATTTGCAGATTCATAGTCTTATGAAAGAGATTTGAAAAGAAAAGCGAATCAATTTGTATTGTTCCACATGTGGGACAAAATAAAATTCTGCATAAGAGCTTTCTGTAAAGGGAGAACTGTTATGGGAAATTGGTTACTGATAAGATATTATGTCCCTATTCTGGAAGGGAGATAGCAAGTGGGAAGAATGTTCTCTGTATTTTGCTCCTCAGGAGATCCTTATTTGTTCTAGAGTTGAGTCCTTGGGCAAGTTACTTTACTTCTTCAGGACTCAATTTCTTTAAAATACGCTTCACTCCCGCTGTGTGTTTTGGTAGATACAGAATATTGTCTCAATAGTCTTCAATAGGAGTCTTTTGTTATTTTATCTTGCTTATGTAAAGGTGACTTTTATGGTCATGTAATTTGTCTTGTAATAAGCACATTTTTTTTTTTGAGTTGGAGTCTCACTCTGTCGCCCAGACTGGAGTGCAGTGGCCGCTCCTGGCCACTGCAGCCTCGACCTGCTGGGCTCTGGCGATCCTTCCGCCTCAGCCTTCCGAGTAGCCGGGAATTACAGGCATGCGCTACCACGCCCGGCTAATTTTTTGATTTATTGTAGAGATGAGGTCTCGCTGCCCAGGCAGGTCTCGAACCTGCGGGCTCAGGCAATCCACTCACCTCAGCCTCCCAAAGGCGCAGGATTACAGGCTGAGCCACCGAGCCCGGCATCATATTTTGTTTTTTAAAAATCTGTAAGAAAAACCCGTTTTGAAGGAGTAAGTTTCATTCTGTGCAGCTCAGGAGTCAGACAAATGATCTCATGATTAGCCTTAAAATAACAACCAGAAACCTTTAGGCTATTTCCCATTAGTGCTTTATCCAAACTGTCTACTGTAGGAGGATATAGAGATCTTCAATTGAGTTTTAAAGGGTTAAATCCTTAGTTTACTGTAAAGATCTTGATAATTTCCCACTAGCACCTAAGTAATTTGTGCTGTAAAGACTGAGTTGCTGATTAGTTTCCAAAAATAAAGTATGCTTGCTTTATAAATTATGTTAAACAGAGCGAAAGAGCAAGTTTTACAGGAGCAAAATCAAGCAATCCATTTGCAGAAAGTATAACCAAATAAAAAATTGGCTGAATGAAGAACAATGAATAAGAATAAAACCAAGTAAATTGAATCAAAAATTTAAAGAATAAAATTACAAATTGTATTTTGTCCATGGGTGGGAGGGATAGACAGATATCAAGTTCTAAGAAAAATTATACAGGATGGAATATCCTTTAGAGCTTTAGGACCATAGCAAAGAGTGGGAGCTTTATTTGTGGAGGGAAACAAAGGTTTATCACTACACAATTTTAGGAGTAGATGTAGAAAAGGGTAAGATCTCATAAATGTTAGAGAAGTGGAATGGAATTTCCCAGACCTTTTAACAAATTGTTTAAAGAACTTTGCAAAAGCTTGAACCTTGAATTGGTGCTATAGCAAACTTCTAAAATTAAATAAGCAAAGCCAAAGTGGCTTTCTTGCACGTTGGCATCATACCGTGTGAACTTTTAGCCTGATAACACTAATTCTTCATCTGGATAGGTAACTTTGGAGGTGGCTTGGACCTTGATCCTTAAAATAGAGGTGTTGGAAAAGCGCTATGTGACGAAAGCAGGCAGAATCACGATTACACTTCAAAGGCCACAGGAGTTTTAACTTTAAGTTGTATGTTTCAGTTGTACTGGCTTTAGTGTTCACACCCAAACTCCAAGGGTAGGATCTACTGAATGTAGGGTGGAGTGGCATTCTGGTTTCATTTGTTTTCTGCTGAAGCTGGCAAACTGCATGAAGATTTATATCTTAAGTGACAGGATTCAATGAAACATGACAGACCTGCAAGAGCTGCAACTTGGCATGTCATGCAGAACTTTCCAGTGAACTAGATGGGACTTGGGGAGACAAACCACACACACTGCCACATCACTCTGGGCAGTGTGAGAGATCAAAGAGAAAACCCAGGGAAGAGCAAGTCCTTGCTGGCTAATGTGTGTGTTGTAGGGTTTAGCATAGACTGTCATTTTCGTTATAGATAAAGGTATGTATCTATCTTGGGCTTGCCTTATGATGGAAAAATTTTGTGGAAATATGCTGCACTGACTGGAAAAATTATTAAGTTATCACATTTATAAAGTAGAAGAACTGGCGATAAAACTAGTCATTCAACTGAAATTTAATCCTAACCCAGTTCCCAACGTTGGGTGGTAATTATTCTATTTACCAAGCCGTTGAGAAAATCAGTGTCAAAAAGAGCAACCACGATGAGCACTGCTTTGAGGAGGGAACAGGTTTTATTACATTTGGATGGACGAGGTAGTGCTATAAAAACGTTTTAGACTGTCTGCTGAAGGACCCAGATTACTGGGTATGAACTAAAACAAACTTCAACTGTTAGTGATACTTCCACATTGCAGACAGCAAGTTAAAGATCCCCCAGTGAAAGCAGAGGAGACAGGAGACTTAGCAGAGCACTCTTGACAGCCTGGCTGGCAGTCACTGATCCAGAAGAAGGAATGAATATTGTATTACATACTCCCAAGTGTTGTTCTAGTGATTCTCCTCAGAGTTATAATAACACCAAAAGGTGGTTTTCAATAACCAGTAAATATTTTCTGAATTAATCTGGTAACCAAACCAGTTGTACTTTAGATTGGTCGTAGAGAGAGTATAATTGGAATAGCAGTTGAGTCACAAATGTCAAATGAAAGTCACCAGAGTCGGTCACTGTGTATTATTCTGCATCATTTATTAAATATTTTTATATATGCATTTACAAACTTTACTCATTTCAGAACTCTGCTTTCAATACTTTTTAAAACTTTTTTGCAGAGATAGTCTCTTGTAAAATGAGATCCATATACAAAACTAGGCAACAGATATAAAAGTTTCCTTTCATACTTTTCATCCATCAAGAAAAGAAATCAGGTGACAAAAGAAATAAAACCCAAACGTGGTTCTTTCAGAAGAATAACATGTCAGTGTTCAACTATGACTTCTAATGGGATAGTTTGTATTTCCTCTTTATATGGATGTATATAGTTTTAATACTTCTTAGCTACTATAGCATGTTGGTTCAGATGAAGAAAAAAATAAACTCTATTGTTTGGACTAGATAATCTAGAAACCATCAATTATTCATTTCTTATAACGTGACATCAAAATTCACCCAGGAGATGACACTGATTGGCCAGCAATATGCAGTTATCCTGAACATTGCATAAAAAGTTCCCTTTAAAAAATTCATTATCTTCTTCACAAGCTAAAGTATGAGCCTCTAATTTGGCTCTCCTATTTAAAGAAATAGTTTGTTTAAATGATCAATTTAGAAGCTTAAAAGTATCTTTGAAACTAAAGTTCCTTTTCAGAAAATGAATGCTGATTTAACAGTTCATAGACTTGGAGCATTATCACTATGAGACAGAGGCACTAATGCCACTAGCAACGAGAAACAGCATCACCATGGGATAATTACATGGTACAAAATGCCCAGGGGCCTGAAACTCACTATTAATATAATTCTGGCAGCAGCATCATTTGATATTTAACCACTTATTACATAGTATTAACACACCAGCTTCAAAGATGTGCACTCCCTTTAGGACACTCGGGAGTTACAAATTTATTGTGATTGCATAATTCATATTGCACAGTTTTATAAAAAACATAAATACTGGCTATTCTAGTTTTAAATACAAAATACATGTCATATACTTTTAAATCTATAATCTGGTTCAAGTGCAAATCAGGTGCTTTCTTTAGTCCTTCCAAAAAAGGCATTTTTAATATTTTTGGCACAAATGTTATCATGCCAACAATTCTAATTACAATACATATATCCAAACCTTTAGAGTAGCAATCATATACATACAGTATAAAACTGAGTATTTACAAATGTATTAAGCATAAAGTAACCTTAGTGGGTGAATCAGAACTAATTAGCCATACCCACACTAATAATAATTATAAAATGTAAATACAATTCCTTTATTTCGTTTGCTTATGCTGGTTGCTGTGGGTTGACATTCATGTGAGGAGGATGTCCTAGAAGACCAATTCTTTGTTTCTGCTTCCTTTGTTCTGTCATCTGGAAAGTTAAAAAGTTTCATCATTAGACCCAGATACTTCCTGTACGTCAAATCATATACTGAACCATAGATTTACCTCTGTGGTTATGGTTTATACTGAAACCCACTTTCTACAAATAGTGTACCGTCACTATATCAAACACACAGCACTTCAAAAAGGGCATCTTCCTAAGGCAGGATGGGGAATTCTGTGACCTAGTCATGCAATGTGACATTCAGAAGTATTGCTTGCTACTTGTTTCATAAAGAAACAAAAAACAGTAAAAGCACAAGATTCTTGAATGTTTCTCAAATCCATTTCCAAATGATGTGAAGACTCATTGGGAAATGGTGGCATTGTACAATAGCAACTATCAAGAAAAGCAGTGTGTTTAGAAGGCTAGGTCTGAGATGGATCATGTCCATACTCTTCAGTAGGTCCTGATGTCTCAACAGTGACTCTTGAGTAGTTCGTTAGAGAAAAAACTACCTAGCACATCTGGGAAGATAAAAGATGTCCTCACATCTCCCTGAGATCCAGAATGATTAAATGCTATAAATAATGCTCTGGTCTTCAGTGGTATCTATGCCTTGCCACCAGTACACACTGAGGCTTGCTTAAGGTCAGAAGAGACTATTTTCTAAGACTAGTTCAAATGAAAAAGTGCTTTCAAAACCCCAAACAAGAGGTTAGAGGTTAGTTTTTTATTCATTTTGCTGCTGAGCTAAATATGTTCTCATGTTGATGGGTCTCTAGATCTGTTCTGATATTTATTTATGTATTTGTTTACTGAGTCGAAGTCTTACTCCGTTGCCCAGGCTGGTATGCAGTGGCACACTCATGGTCATCCCAGCCTCGACCTGCTGGACTCCGGCGATCCTTCCACCTCAGCCTTCCAAATAACCGGAACTACAGGTGCGCACTACCACACCCAGCTAATTTTTAATTTATTGTAGAGACGAGGTCTCCTCAAGTTGCCAGGGCTGGTCTTGAACCTGTGGGCTCAGGCTATCTACTCACCTCAGCCTCCCAAAGTGCTGGGATTACAGGTTGAGCCACCGAGCCCAGCCTTGTTCTGGTATTTTAGGGCATACCTAATTCTCTCTCTTCATTAAGATTTTTCTTAATTCAGTTGGTCTTAGCATTGGATTTAAGGCTGGGTGTTTAAGTCAATGAAACACAGATTAGATAAATATTGTTGTCTACAAGTGGCTTAAGGTCCTACCTCTAGATTTTTGGTTTCCTAAAACTGGGGAGGAATTAGGGTAGAATCATAAAAAGAATGTAGGCTTTGGAATCAGACAGACCTACTTCTTTGTGAGTTTTTCATTTAACTTCTCAAAGTCTGTTTCTTAGTCCATAGACTCATGATGATAATGCCTATCTCATAGGTGGAGAATTAAAAGGATGTATGTAAATTTCCTAGTACAGTATCTGTCATAGTAGATGCTTAAATCTGTTTTCACTTGAACTAAGTTTTGGTACAAAATATCCTGGTACAAAATAAAACAAGAATAATTTACCTAGGTTCCATTTTAATGTGGTTATTTTTTTCTTCTTCAAAACTAGCATTACCCAAATCAAAATACTGTTTATAGGCTCCTGTAGGAATGCTTTCTCTATTATAATTTAGATGAGAAGATTTACAAGTGTTGAGTATTTCTAAAAAATGGCTTTTTTTTTTTTTTTTTTTTTGAGTTGGATACTCCCTCTGTCAGCCAGGCTGAAGTGCAGTGGCATGCTCACGGCCATCGCAGCCTCGACCTGCTGGGCTCAGGTGATGCTTCCACCTCAGCCTTCCAAGTAGCTGGAACTACAGGCATGTGCCACCCACCTGGCTACTTTTTTGATTAATTGTACAGACAAGGTTTCACCAAGTTGTCCAGGCTGGTCTTGAACTTGTGGGCTCAGGCAGTCCTCTCACCTCAGCCTCCCAAAGTGCTGGGATTATAGGTGTGAGCCACCATGCCCGGCTAAAAGATAGCTTTTAATAAAGATTTTTATAAAGAATTAAACTAGGATATTCTGGCTAGCCTCTAAAGTTTCCTTAGGTGAGTGACAAATCTTTAAAGGAAGTATTACACAATATACTATATTAACAGAATCAGCTAAGAGGGGGAGAACCTAATATGACACATGAAATAAATTAACAATTAGATAAAAATGCAAGGAATGCATTCATCTTACTGTCTGCTAGTTCAGATGTTTAGCTCAGGTTTTTTCCTACAACTATATGCTTGGCATGCAACCTTGAGAGGAAATTCAATAAAAATTACTTAAATTTTGATAAACGTAAGCATTCAAATGGATTTGGAAATCTCGGTGTGCTAAACCCTCATGAAGGATACTTTACTCAAAGCTTACATTTCAAGCTGCTGATATCTTTCAACTCAAATGTTGAATTTAAAAGTTGGCCATTACAACTTTTTCTGTAATTTTGCTTTACATAGCTACTTGTATTTGAGATGACCTTTATGTATGCATATCTTCATCCTTGTTTGTTAAATCAGCTCTCTTTGACTTTTCAATTTGTCAGTTAGTCTTTTTCTTAAACTTAAGTCTCTAAATCTTTACAGCAAAGGAGTCTTCAGTTGGTGGCATGTCATCCATGGTCATTGCTTGATACTTCATTAGGGGTCCTATAATTTTCTAGGCTTGTGTTTTTAAGATAGTGATCACACCCCCTCTTCCTCATAAACGTTAAGGCTCCCTACTGATGTAGGTTAGTGGCCAATTCTGCTCAGGTAGCTAATAATTTCAAGTACCAACTACAAATCTATCTAATTTTGTTTTCTGCTTCCATAGAAGAATGGTTCTTAAACACTAGCATGTACCAGAATCACTCAGAAGGTTTCTTTGAACACAGATCAGAAAGCAACATTTCTGATTCAGTAGGTCTGGGTAAGGCCCATGAATCTACATTTCTAACAAGTTCCCAGGTGATGCAGATATTGCTGGCCTGGGGACGGCACTTTGAGAATAACTGCGCTCGATGAGCTTTTCACTGATAATCTCCAAAACAGGCCAAGATCATTTTGGGTACAATTAATATACTTTTATATACACTTTTATAAAGTATTTGGTGAATATAAAGCCTTTTTCTCAAGTGAGAGGTGATCTTGGAGAACATTCTCTGCAGCTGAGCACACAGTAGGAACATGTGCTTCACTGTTTGATCTGTTTTGACCAACCATGGCCTTTCAGACAGAATGACTATCATTTAAGTCAATGTCACTGTCATTTAAGTGACTGCTAAATGAGAAGGAATTGTGAAACTGCAAAAGTGTCCGGTCCCTTTAGTAGCGGTCATCATCTGATTACAATTATAAGGGGATAAAAAACACAAAAACCACACAAAACCCCTAAGGACTAAATCTGACCTATAAGAAACCAAGGCTAACACTTCTGGCCATTTAAGTTTCCCCAGCTTATTACTGCATATTCTGTCCTAATTTCTGGCTTTATTAGCTCAATTCTGTCTATCTACTTACCTTCCTCCTACCTACCTACCTACTTACATTCATACATATTATCTTGTTATAAGGCATCGCTATTACTTGTTATTATTACCTATATCAAAGAATATAAACAGTGACCAGTCTATCATTAGCATATGCTCAGATAGTATTCTCTCTGGACATCTGAAGCAAAATTGATTCTTGATAAAAATATCCGTCAGACTCAAACCTAAGGTAACTTCATTCAAAATTCTGACACTGAAACATCTATTTTGAGTATTGTAAAATGTTCCATTTATAGTACATTTAAAAATTCTCAAAATTCCCACGTAGCTGAGGATAAACAGTTGAAGCATTGCTGTTCTTCATATCTATACAAATGTAGAAACTAGCTCGAATCTCAGCATTCCTCCTTTTGACTAAACAAGAAGCAAAGAATATTGTGGCTTTACACAATATGTAGCCAAACATCTGAATGATCTTCATGAAAACACTAGGCATGGAGTACAAATGAGAAAATTTTAATCTAACAGTTTTTGGCCGCTAAATGATTAAAAGCTGGCGCAGGAAGGAAGGTTCACTGACAGCTCACAAATGCCACATTCTGGTTTATAACACATCTTAGTAGTCTTTGAAAAATGGTTCCATGTCACAGTAAGGTCTTGGTTACTCAGATTCTAAACAGCTAGGAAACTCTAGTCATCAGAATTAGTTTTTACAGCCTTATATATAAAATAAGTCATGCTCAGAATGATGAGCTTCTAATATTGAGAATTACAACTAAATCATCTCTTGATTCAATTATATTCATTTAATTTAAGATTCCTAGAGTTGATCTGAACAATGTCTATACATTGATAGTAAATGAATATAATTTAATAATGAATATTATATGCTCTTTTCCTCTCTATTTTACCTGGAAAATTATTCCACAAGCTTTGAAACCAAGCTTCTGCATCACCACCTCTGAAAATGTTTTTGTGATAATTGATCCTCTCCCTAAGATCAAATTGAATCAATTCCTCCCTTTCTTCATTCCCAGAACAACGTGTTCATACCATTTAGTTATAATTTATCTCTTTACTTATTTGTCTCCCACTCCAGACTTTTAGGTCTTGAAGACAGAGAATAGGTTCTATTCATCTATGTATCCCTAGTCCCTAGTGCTGCATCTGGCAAATAGGTGTTTCATAAGTGTTGGTTGAAAGGAAGAACTGAATTAACCAGACATAATGCCATTCCTTGGGCATGCCATGCATTTTCATGCCGTTGCTCATGCTGATTCCTTTCCAGGAAGCCCCCTACTGCATTCTCTGCCAGCTCAGAAGTCACCTGCTTGTAAGACTGTAGAAGCTAAACCCTTCCTCACTCCACACCTCACACAGGACTGCCTACCCACTTCTCTGTGCTCCATGGAACTTCATTCACACTCACAGAACTTTTCATACTGCATAGGTTATCGGAGGCCTACTTATTTGTCTTTCTTGCTGGATCGCGGCATCCTAGAGGGCAGATGCTATCTTAGTCCTCTTTTGTGGTCCCGTGCAGTATAAGGAACATAGACGTACTTAGTAAGGTTTAGTATTCCATTTTCCAATTTTGAGCAGTTATTCTAATCCTTTGTTATTCCTTCCTTCTTTAAGCAGTTAATGGTAACAAGACAATCCTCTTGTATGAAAAATGCCAAACACTGTGACATGCTAATGTGGTCTGAGTTTTCAAGCACTTCTTGTACTCCTAGCAACAACAAATCAGGGCTGTTGTCCAAGGGAAGCCAGTCACATTTTCAAGGAAGTTAACCCTTCTCAGTATTTGCTCTTTTGCATTATGAAGAAAACATGCAAGAAAAAATTAAGTTCTTACATTAGTTCTCCTCCTTGGAATAAGAATGTAAGAGAATCATATTTAGTATTCAGAATCTCTTGGGAGGGGGAACTTCAAGATGAGATGCATCATTAAGTAATACTTAGACTAGCAATTCTAACCAATGATTCTTGGCAATAATAGAAAAAGTGACACCACTAGCCATGATTTTGCTAATTTCCTAACAACTTTTCCTCCCCAAAGTGGTAGTTTAAGAAAGTAACAACCAAAGAGGTCAATAACCGTAAAGATTAAAACCAGAGTCATCCACATTTAAGCTATCGTTGCTCCAGCATGGTTTCTGAATCAGAACGTCTAAAAAAAACTAAGTAATGAAGCAATTTTTGTGTTTTCCAGTACTTTTACTAGTGAATGGTATTCTTTCATAGCCATTTAAAAAAAATCAGTTTCTTGTTCATTAATTATTCATGGAGCTTTTATTTTTTAATTCAAAATTGCTTCCCTCAGAGAGCAGGAATTCTCACAATTCCCTTTTAAGAACCAGCAGCTCTCTCACATATCTGCATGATTTTTTTTTAATGCAGAACAGTTAAAAAAAAATCTTTATGATTGCTATAACACCAAACTAAATTCAAATCTATTCAACAAGTTGATTCTCAAACAAATGTATTAGTGGTTTGTTAGAAGTTACATAATCAAAAGAAAACACTGACTAGTTCTTTTGAAAGAAGCAAATCCTTCTCCCCTTCCAAAAGCAGCTATGCTGAACTTTTCCTGTAATACTGGGCACCTTAAAACTTAAGCAGATCAATCCTGGTAAAAGCACTTGAGAACATCCTACTGGTTTCTCATTCTTCTTTCTAACCTATAATATCTTACAATAAAAAAATAGTTCAACTTCAAATTCATTCACAGAGGAAGGGCTTGCTGAAGAGCAGTTCCAGCTGCCAACTTTAAAACAAAAAATGTATAAAGGGGAGAAATCACACAGTTTAAACTATACTGGTTATAATGTCAGTTTATTAACCTTGGTCCATATGTAATCAAATTTTTCATATTTTGTTTAAACCAAAACTTTGGTTTAAAAGAACAGTTCTACCTTGGATTTTTAAAATACCAGTGTCTACTATGCTTACTCGTATACAGTGACAATGAATGGATTCTCTCCATACCATTTAAGTACATGATGCAACTTCTGAAACTTTAAGGTTCTTTTTTTAAAAAAAGGAATAAGACTTAAACAGTCAACCATGAAAGGCAAACAGTAGAATGACATAAAGCAAATCAAAACACATACACACCAGACTAGGGGATCAGGAGCTCCTACCCTGCATTGTCACATGAAATTGAATAAATTTCCTAAGAGCCTTCTAGGCTTATTGGCGTCCTCATCAAGAAAATGAGGGAATTGGGTGAAATGACATCTAAAGTCTTGGGTACGCTTCCACACCTGTATTCTTTCTGCTAATTCCACAGCTTAACTCACTCTTTTGACAAGGCTCACTGGTTTGCAAAGTGTGCATTGAAGCAGCTCCAGAATCATTCTCAGTGAGCAATTCAAAACAACAGATTCTTAGCACTGAAAGGACAGGTAGAGCCAGTAGGGAGGGGTTGCTTGGTTTTACCACCACAGAATACCCAATAATAGTTTGCTTCAGATACATTTCAAGAAACACTGTAGTAAATTTGAAACACTCAATTTCTAATATCAACAGAAATGTGCCCTCAAAGAACTCCCAAGTGTGATAATGAGAAATAGTAATGAGTGAGCAAGAATGTGTTTTGGTTACCTTGGCACATGAGAGCTAGAAAGTCTGTTGTAATTCCAGTACCATGGACATAAAACAAAGATCATCTGTTTCTTTAAAAAATGGCACCAGATTTCATGGAGAACTGAACAGGTCCTTTATTTAATCGGTATTAGAACAGTGTCTGTAACTTTTTTTAGCACCTAATTTAATTTTCTCTTTTTTTGAGTTGGAATCTCACTCTGTCATCCAGGCTGGAGGGCAGTGGCACACTCATGGCCACTGCAGCCTCGACCTACTGGACTCAGGTGATCCTTCCCCTTCAGCCTTCTAAGTAGCTGGAATTACAGGCACGTGCCACCACACCTGGCTAATTTTTTTATTTATTGTAGAGATGAGGTATCACCAAGTTGCCCTGGTTGGTCTCGCACCTGTGGGCTCAGGCAATCCTCTCATCTCAGCCTCCCAAAATGCTGGGATAAGTGTGAGCCACTGTACTCAGCCAGTACCTAATTTAAAACATCTGATACAACTGAGATTCTTGTAGCTATCCAAATGAGAGAAGAAGATAACTGAAGCTTGCTAGAGGCATTACATTCGCCTTGCTCTTGGGGGTGGGTGCAGAAGCAGCTGTAGCCAACAATGTACTTGCCAGTCAGTTTAGCTCTGTGGAACATTTGTCAAATGTTTCACAGCAGGGGTAAAAAGTTAATAATAAGCAAAGTAATCTAGTTAGATCTTCATTAGTTCTACTTATTTAGGTTATTACTCATTTTAGGTAGCTACCAAGCTTAGAGCTGTAGACAGCCTTCATAAATAAGGCCTTCTTTTCTCATTAGGCTTTTTTATTTGCATCTTAATATATATGAAAGAAAAGAACTTGGAGCCAAATAGTATCTCAGGGTACAGTTTGGGGAAAAAACTACAGTTCAAACTATGATTATTAAAAATGCCCTGTAAACCATCTCAAGAATAGTTTATTATATCTATAGATGAGGTCCTCACTAAGTATGATGTATACAAGAACAACGCATCATCAGCTGTGGGTCTACCTTGCAACCTACCTCCAGGGCAGACTTGCCTGATGCCTATTACTGTGCAACATTTATAATCTTGTCTCTGGAGGTGATTAAAAAGCTTTCAGAAACTCATATAAAATGCTGAACTGCACCCCTATCTGTACACAATTATCCCAGTCAGTTACAGAAAAGCACAAATAACCAAGATCACACTGTGCTCACCACCCAAATTGCAAGGCCTTGACACACAGCTGCATCCTATCACTAGATAATCGCCTGGTGACTGTGGCATGTTTACTTCAAGGGGGTCCAAAGAAAACAAGGAGTGTGTAAGGTTTGATATAAACCTATTCCCCACAACTTACTTAAAGGGCAAAACATTTGTCTTATGGTTGGGAAGTGGGATGGTGGCAGTATTTCTGTAGTTGATTAAGCTCTGTGAGACCGGGACTGTGTTGCTCTTGTTCAGTGTTTTATCCATGGGACCTTGCATGATGCCTGTACTGTGGGAGCCATTCAATACGTAGTTGAGACATCAAGGAAAGAAGACAAAGGGCTTTTCCATGACTATGGCTTATCCCAGAATGCTGAATTTAAATATCTTGGGGTGAAGATCTAACAAATCTGAAGGCTAGAATGCAAAACAAGAAACAGCTTTTAATTTTTTGCCAATGAATAAAGTAAAAAGTGCATATAGTTTTATGCACTTTGGCTTTTGTGCAGTGTTTCATTAAATGGTTTGCATTTTCCCATTTTTTGGTTTTGTTTTTCATATATATAAAACCATGACCTTAGCAGCAGTGAAAGTAGCACTATGGCCATATCCTGCAAGAGGGCAGTAAAAGGGGTTGGGGAGTGAGAAGACTGGTGGAGTGAGTTTGTCCTCTGTTGCCCGGTTCCCTTTTCCATCCAGGTGAAGTGCCGTGACACTGTAACATAAGTACTACTAATTTCTTTCTTCATCAGATTTTGTGATGATAGTGGTGTGCACATGTGCACAGGCATGGAGGGAGGTGGGATTTCCTTTCTTTACCTGATCCTTTAATTCTGACAGCTGGCCAGAAAGGTTAGTGACAAGCTTCATGGTGGACTCCAGCTTCTCCTGCAGGTTCCTCAGTTCATTCTGTTCTCCTTCAGAGTCGCTACTGACCAATGACATGGCTCTCATCCTGGGGAACCAGTCAAGGTTTCTTTCCTAGAACCGATAGTTAAAAAAAAAAAAAAGAGTGGGAGTCACTTCTAGAGGTAGAAACAAAAAAGGCTATCTTATCATGCCATGCTTCCTAAGTATTAGGTTTTTCAACCTGTCATTAGGTTATCTCTGCCTATTGCTGAACTAATGTGCTGTGTATTTCTTAACTGTTCAGTAACTGTTTTTTTTAACTGACTATAATGGAACTCTAATTTTTAGAAGAGGAAGTTATTTTAAAATTAAATACAGGGGAAAAGTAGGCTTCCAAACCAGAGTCCTAATCTCCAGATTTGAATACTGCCACTGCCACTCTGATCTTTGCAGATTACATGGCTGATGAGTTTTGTTTTTTTTTAAATTGTGGCAAAATATGCATAACATAAAATTTACCATTTTAACCATTTTTAAGTATACAGTTCAGTGGCATTAAATACATTCACATTGTGATATAACCATCACCACCATCCACCTCCAGAACTTAAAAAATCTCCAACTGAAATTTCATCTCCATTAAATGGTAACTCCCCATCTTCCTTCCCCCCAGCCTGTCAACCACCATCCTATTTTGTCTTTATGAATTTGAGGTACCTCATATTGTGCTGTGGATTTTAAAACACATTATACTGGGAAAACTGTTTGCAAACACTCTGGAAGTGAAATGAATTTTAAGATCCCAAGTGTTCTGGCACTTAACAGATAACATGTGTATGTATCCATTTGCTTGGATAGGGGGATTATTAAGAGGCTGGAAATGGGAAATGGGCTCCTCAGTCAATCTCCCTGTTGGTGAGTTTATGGAAACCATTCCTCTATTCTTGTTTCCTTTTCCTTCCAGCCTGAAACGGTTGATGGGTGCTGACAACTGGCATAGAAAAGCCCGTTGAGTTTCTGGCCTCTGTCCATCTCCATCCTTTTGCTGTCTATAACTTATGCCTGTAGAGAGTATTTCTTATTCCTGGTTAACAGAATGGGATGACTCCTCCTCCCACCTTACTTCCTTCTGCCCACATATGCCTTTCTCCTAAAGAGCATGTCTCATATGTAAGTTCTGTATGAATAGGCAGGAATGAACAGTAAGAAAAGCTTAATCAGCATGAGACAAGGGGAAGAAAATTGACTCATTACAGATCTATCTGGTGTTATTCTCACCTGGACCATTTTGATCTTGTTAGGATAAATTTAATAGACCTTCTAAAACAAATCATGTCCCCGCCTCCCCCAAGCATGCGCACACACACACACACACACACACACACACACAAACAGAATGTGTTAGTGTTGCTTTGTATACAGTGAGGGTCAGTAACATTTTCTGTGGGCATGTTTTCTGATAGTAAACATTTTTGGTTTTGTGGACCATATGGTCTCTGTAACAACTTCTCAGTCACTCTTCCATTATAGCCCCCAAGCAGTCATAGATAATATATAAATGAACATATATTTAGGCATGGCTGTATTCCAATAAAACTTTATTTACAAATGAGTTTGCCCTGTGGACTGGACTTTGCTAATCTCTGCTGTATACAATAGAAGGCATTAACATATTTAAAACAAAACCCCCCAAAATTCTATGAGAGATGTCTAAATATTACAAATCAAGTAAGATCATTAAAGCACATGTCCTGACCTAAGGCAATCTAGCAATATGGAAGCCATATAAGAACTAGTTGAAAAATATTACAAAGAAGGCATGCCACATTGGCAGGATGCATCACATCTAGAGTGTTCACTTAAGACACTGGGGTCGGGGGGTGATTCACTAGCCTGTCAGTGTAATGAGAGCAGGAACCACCTTAGTATACTAACTAGAACATGGTAGACACTCAATGAATGTGAAAGGATAGAATGATATTCAGCTCTTTTTCTGCATGGGCCCTGATGACAGATACTTAAATAGTAAGCCTAACTTGCTTGTCCTGAGTGCTGCAGGAGAAAAATGACAATATCTGCCTTCTTGTACCCTGAATAAACATTTCATTCACATGTGTCTTAATTTTAGCCTATATTCCCCAATTTTCCACCACAGAGCAATGGGCAAATGATCATTTGACAAAATAATCCCCCTTTCAAGGATGATTATCTTAAAAATCTGAATGGCTTTCCCAGCTGTAATCGGTTTTCTACTTTGCTGCTGCAGTGATCTATTGCTGATTATTATACTTACCACTCCCATGTCAATCCTTCAGGGGTAGCCATATCTTCCCACCAAGGAAATATCCCATCTTCAAGGGTTATACAACTCTAAGGGAGGGATAAGCCTCATTTTTCAGAAGAGGGCACACATGGGGGTCAGGTGTCTGGTGATTACTCACTCCCACTAGGGCAAGACAACCCCTGTGAAGGGAGGAAGAATATGTGTGCTGGGCTGATAAAACCACAAACTCAAAGCACAGTTGCAGAGAGATCACACAGCAGAAAGCCATGTGCACTCATGGTGACCGCTACACATTTTTGTAGACTGACCCCAGAGGAGGAGAACAAAGATCCAAAGTCCCACTCAAATGGTCAAACTCCAAGGTGCATGTGAACACACCATTAGTTGGGATGAAATAGGAAGTAATGCAGGAGGGAGTCTGGAGACCATTAATCCCACCATTGCATCTATAATGCAGGAAACAGAGGCCCTGGGCTGGGGTGGGGTGGCCAGTTCCTATTTTCCAAAGGGGATCTTGAGAATTACGTAGTAGCTACAAATTGTAAACTGCTATAATTAAGTATATTTTGGGGTGAAATAGTTATGGTTATTTGGATTCAATAAAAAGTGTAAGCACTATTAGCTCTCTTGGAGGAAAGCTTTTTAAAAAATACACCAGATGTGACATTCACTTGAGGAACACTTCCTTTAGATGCTGAAGATACAACTGTGAGCAACACAGACATGGTCACTGCATCCTGGACCCCCTTAAAGGGGAAACAGCTTTGATACCTAAGCATGTGATAGGGTTCTGGTTATCAAAGTGCTTGTGATTTATTTAAGAGTAGACATTTATTATTATTTTTTTAAAATGGAATAAAGCAAGCTATGTGGCATTACAGTAAGACCAACTACTGGTAACTGACTAGCAGAATCTCTTCATGTAAGGCCTGGGCCTAAAGGTTGGAATCCTTGGCTTTTCTGGAGCAAAGCATGAGGGCCTTGTCCAGAGGGCACTGGCGCAAGGAAGCCCACCCGTGTGGCTGGAGTTGAGGATGAGGCAGACAGATGGGAGTAGCTCAGACTGTTGAAGACTAGCGGGAAAGAGAAGGAAGGGAGAGGTCTGTGGAACGTCACCCTGCGGACCAGCCCTGAGGAGAGAGAAAGGACATGCCCACTGCTTCCAAGAGGAGCTAGAACTCACCTGTAGCTGACTTATTACTGACATGCAAATGAATGCTAAACTGCCTAAAATGTTAGCGAATTCATCTAAAATCTGGCTTTCAAATCTTTCATATGTTCATTTGCTTAGCAAACCTTCTATAAAAATAGAAAACACAGATTTCCAAACAGAGTCCACATTAATGAGGGCTTCCAAAGATTCCAGCAAATTGATGCGAGAGTCTGCACAAAGCTGTAGGTTTAAGGAATGGTCTCTCTCCTTTATTCTAATAACAAATGACCAAATGATTAGAGATTAAAATGAAAATTTTTCTGTGGCAGATTCTTACCTTCTTTCACAGCACATATGATCCTTGGCCCACCAGGCAATGATTTCAGAAAGTTCTTTGAGCAAATAAAGGCAAGATGCACAGACTTCCATTCAACAGCCGTTTACTCAACTTTTACAATGTCTGGGCCTGGTACAGGGCTGAGCACTGAGGGTCTCAAGATGAGAATGCCTCTAGGTGCTTTCGTCCAAGGATTGTGTCATGGCCAGGCCTCAGGGTGTGGCTCTTGCCTCTGTGGAGCTCTATGGCAGCCCTTGCACCTAGTTGTGAGGGTCTAGCAAGCAGCTCGCTCCATGCCCCTCACCTCAGTGGTGGAGAGGCTGATACCCTGCATTTGTGTGTCTCTATGAGATAGCTGTTATCCTGGTACTTAAAGGCCCTGCACAATGGGTACTTAAAGCCATAGACAGAAGTAATGCATCTTGTAAGAATGTCAATCTTAGACAGTGTTAAACAACAGAAATGCGTATGTGTATATATATGTATATACAGTCAATTGTTTAATTGTCTAAAATATACATACTTATTATCTAAAATATATACATTCATTGTCTGATACATACATACACACACACAAACATATATATATATTTTGGGGGGAGGACAGGGACTCCCTCTGTCGCCCAGGCTGAAGTGCAGTGGTACTATCTCACTCACCACAGCCTTGACCTCCTGGGTTCAGGTGAGCCTTGTGCCTCAGTCTCCTGAATAACTGGGACTGCAGGTGCACACCACCACACCTGGATAATTTTTTGATTTTCTGTAGAGACGAGGTCTTACTGTGTTGCACAGGCTGGTCTTGAACTCCTGGGCTCAAGCAATCCTTCTACCTCGGCTTCCTAAGGTTTGTTAATTACAGGCATGAGCCACCGCACCAGCCATATTTTTATATTAAGCAAAAAATGCCCTGCATTTTTGCAGTTGAAGAATATGAAATTCAATAAAATGTAAAGACCTAACACTTCAAAGAAAGGTCACACTTGCTGCAGGCCACTTGGACCATGTACTCCGATCCTAGGGATAAAGCTTCATTCTCCACAGAGGGCCTTCAATGAAAGATAGGAAAAGGATTTCTTGGCCTAGAAATCCACCAGTTGCCACCATACAGGTTCTCCCCCTCTGCCTCCGTTAATATCTAATAATAAAAAGCTAGGCTTGGAAGAACCCCCCCTGAAACCCTAAACCACATGAAACAAGCTCAACCGTAGAGAATTCAAATACCCTGGATGGCAAGTATTATTATTTTGTATGCAATGAAGTGGGTAGATCCCCAAATTTGAGATCCTAGGTGTTGCCAGTGTTTTAATTAAATAATCATCCTGGGCTGTTAAGTCAAATCTCAAATTACCACGGAGTAT